TGACAACATGATTCTTTCTCACAACGTAGAATTAAGAGTTCTGAATAAAGAAAGAAAAAGCAAAGAATCTTCGCACTAGTATGTTTATTCTAATTCGCACTATAACAACGGTTTGATAACTGGCCAATACTATCGTGTTTCACAAAAGAAGCTTCGAAGCTGTTTTATCATAATGCGCAGATGTGAAAATATCCCATACACAATTGCTACAGTTATATGAAACAACCTCGCAAGTGTTCGCCACTTATCAGAAATAATGGAAATTTGTATCTCCATTGAAAACTCGAATGATTCATTTACATTTTTGTTAATTTAGAAACACATTAATATATTTTACACTGAAAAATCTTCAAAAGAAATATTTTTTTTTTATAAAAAATTGTTAGTTCTCCATTATATAAGAAAAAAATTATTCGGCTTCAGTAGAATTGTTTTAGTAAACTTTTATTTAGTTCAGTTAATAATTTATTGAATATTCGGCGTTAATTAAAAATATTATTTTGATTTTACAACCCGCTTCCAGGTCGAGTCCTTAAAACTGAATCCATATCCACATAAAAATAAATTTCATAGCTTGCATAACCATAAAAACTATTTTAATAAAAAATATGCGCTTCGAAAGGCAGTGTACGGATAGCCACCTGTGTAATTGGAAGTTCAATGTCGTGGAGGGTTAAAGAAAGTAACGAAGTCACTTTCTCACGAACTTTGTCACGAAGTCACAAGAAAGACGCGCCCGGAAAGACTAATCAATCAATCAATAGAAAATTGAACCTGGCGAGGCAGTGCACGAACCTGCGTAAGGCAATGTCTTAGACGGTGAAAGAAAAATCACGAAGACACTTCACTTGGGGAATCTGCTCTTCACACAATAGCTGCAGCTGTCCCATTTAAGCAAGGCATCAACTGATGTCACTGCAGTGCCTTTGATCGGGAGGTCCTAGGTTCGAGTACCGACGTCAGGATTATTGACACTAAATAGCTAGATCGAATTCAACCGCTGCCTGGAGGAGAATTCTAGCGGCCGGCTGCTCTCATAAGAACTTTTGCGTGGTTTCTCCGATCAATACCAAGCGAATGCCGGAGCAGTACCCTAACAAAGAGCTCACGGACTGCGCTCGATCTTTCCTCCCTCTTCCTTGTCTGATCCTCACTTCTTAATTACATACACTTACACTAACAAGCTCTACTCCACCACACATGTCGGGAGACCGGTCAGGAGCTTAGAGCTTGTTCCGGCTGGGGCGGTGCTCCGCTGGTGGGAGATACCTGGTTGGGAATTATCCCGCTAGCCAACGGTAGGCCGGCGCCAGATCTCATCCACAGAGCGGGGGAAGATCACGAGGAGAAAACGTGCACTAAAGATACGGGACTAATGACCTTAGCAGGTGAAGCGTCCGGAATGACTAATCACTGTGTTGATTTAACGAAAATTCGCCCTTTTTGATCTCGCACGTCTTTACTTAAGGAGAATTATTAGTACGAATGGGAATGTGGAAGTAATTAGTTTAGCAGTTGTGGATGTAATTAGTAATTAACAGCTGGATACTTCTTACAAATTTTCTCAATTATGATTGTCTTGCTGTAGAATCAAGCGGATATCGAATAAGCCACATTTCGTGTTTTGTCCGTCTGAGGCCTCGTATTCTGCTAACGAATATCTCCCTGGAAACTGTGTTCCAGTGTTATGTTTCCTTTTTTGTTTATTTGAAGTCATAGAAATCCGAGAATAGTTCAGACGAACGCTTCTTTTGATCTTTCGCCTTATTAAATACCAGTAATTCCTTGAAACTAGAGATTCGTCAGAACAGAGGATTAGGAACCATGTAATGTGAAACCAGTGGTGGTACAGAATGGCACAGACTTTCCCGTGTTAGTTTTCTATTTCCTTTGGATTCGGCTAGATATACGAAATTGCCAGATGCCATCTATTGCCACCCAAAGTACATTGTTTTGAAATTTTCGTAATTTTTCAATTTCCTAATAGTAGATCGGAAATATTATTTTAAGAATATTAAAGATCAGTAATATCTCGTCCTAAATGGCAATTTTGTCTGAAAAATTTGGAGCCGTTTTTTAAGAAAATGGTACATAAGCGCTACTGTAAATTCGAATTTATAGCTCTTTTCACACACAATTTTTGAGTTTTTGAAAATCATTATTTAACGTCATTTGAAGAACTTTAACTCACAAATACAATAGTGTTTACAAATTGCTGGATATGTGCGACGAGATAATTTAAAAAAAAATTGTGTAAAAATAAGCTTTACGTCATATTAAAGAAAGCCGTTAGTAAAAAGAATGCACTATCCATTCAAAGAGTTTGAAGAAAAAAATTGGAGCCGTTTTCGGGAAAATGGTGTGTGTTTCTGAAAATGCGGAATTATGAGCTAGTTTTCGAGAAACTTTATATGACATTATTCAGCACACTTACTCACAAATACAATAATGTGAACAAATAGCCGCTATTAAGGACGTCAATATTGAGGAAGTGGGAGAAGTAAAAAATTACATTCTTGTAATTTTTGAAAAATTAAAAAGGATAGAGCAATATGGGGTTCATGTCATCTTATAGAGTGCATTTAGCACTATCTCTAGGAAAAGATTAAAGAAAAAAATGATGCCGTTTTCGAGAAAATCTTGTTTTTGTAATTTTTTAAAATTACAAAAAGGACGTTTTGAAAACAACAACGTTTCGGTATCAGGAGGTCCAAAACCGTGTTTTTCCGTTGAAATATCGAAATCGATTTTCTGCAGCATTTAATAAGTTTCTCCATACCACGTACTAGTTGAATGTGGTGTTGCCGACGCTGTGAACTGTTTTTAAAATGTTTTCATGTGTTGAAAATTTCGTTCACGCTTATCTTTGTTCAGTTATGTTCTTACAAAATTTGGTATTGGACTGACCAATGAATGGTAGTAGCTGATAATGTTATTCTTCCCTTCAAAAATTCCTAACATCCAATGGCCTTGCATGTTACCCTCTTACGTAATATGAACTGGTAATATTGTGACTTCAAAATTATAATCACGATAAAAATACTTGAAAGTATTGATTATAGTAGTAGTTAAGTACAGTTACATTTCTTACTATATTGCTAATATGCACAAAGGCCATCTGTAAGGTGTTATCTCTAATCCTAACATAAGTTCATTCTCAATTAGTTCCGAAAGTTATGCCGTAAAATCTTCTACTACAGTTGGTCTTTCCCCGGATTTCCTAAACACTTCCATATTTTTCTCCTCTAATTTTTGAAGAGAATAAAGCTCCTCAAACAAAGTGTAAGTTCTGTTCATTTCCACTTTTGCAATTGCTATATTAATCGTTTTGTATGCGAATCTACATGAACATTAAAAGGCGTTTGTATGTTCAGGTGAATAGGTATTAATTAAGTTTAATAAAAATTAGTTGTGGGTCACAGTCATGTGAAAATCAGCATTTGTACACTCAGGAACGTAAAAGTGAGAAGTCGAACGTAAAACGTTAATTCATTCTCTAAAGTTTCTTACAGTTTTGTTTTTTCCGTATTCACTTGAAATTCTTCAAATTTAAAATATTCCAAGGCAATACTGTTCGTAATTTTTTGCAAATTTATTTTTAGAAGTTTGGTATTGGGCCAACTGGTAAAAATTAAAATGAAATATGCCGCGCGATTCACGATTTCGCTTTGCGTAATAAGATGTGGGAATGAAGAGTAATGTATTAACCGAAATAATTAACGAAATAATAAATAACCGAAAAATTTTAATGAATATAAAAATATTATATTTAATTATTATACTTTTCTATCCATTTTCCATTTCTTCGGGTTGTGAACAATGGCAAAATATGTAACCCATTCAAATTAGAAGTCATAGTTGCGTGTGTAACTCATTGTTGAAACTTCGCACTCATAATGATAGCTGCCTTTCGTTCTCGTTAATATAAACTAATAATTTTATTTACGGGCAAAATACGCATCGGGCATCGTAGGTACATTGATGTACGTGAATATAGTACGTGAATACACTGAATTCAATGTCAAAAAGCTGTTTTCATTTAAGCATTTGAATAAAGAAAGATGTATGTTTTCTTCACGCTTCGTTAAGAATTTTTCAAATAGTAGTTGAACTGTAAGGCAGAAATTGTCGTATTATAATATTACATAGCCATTAACAATATCGAGAGAAAGCACGTACTGTTGTAGTACTACTAGTTTATTTTTAATTTTATTGATTGGCTTATCATTTTCTTCAATTCGTCAAGAAAAAACACGAATGAAATATTTGCAAAACGAAGTGAAGATGGTATATATTTGTATTGTGACTTCATAGGAATTCAAAGTATCTTATTGAAACTACAAAGTTATGTAATGAAACTTTTTCTGTAGTTTTGAAATTAACTTAACCTTAACTACTTTTATATGACAAAATCCTTTCCGCAAGCTCTGTTCCAAACCTTGAAAGCCACAGTGTACCCGATTTCCGTGCACTATACATGGCGTTACGCAAGAAGTTACTGCACATGCCGCTAAGATGCGTCATCATCAACACGGACGCCTTGAACAGGAGGAAAACGTAAAATGGCTTCAGACTACAAGCAACGTAAAACGAAAGAGAAGTAATGCTTCATAAATTTTTAACATTTTAATCAGCAATCGTTAGGGTCTCAGAAACCGACATCTTAATTTTACTTTCTCACCATACCACATACTTAAGTTGTAAAGAGAAAGAATTGTAAAGCTACGGCAGAAATCGGCAATACTAAGACATTTTAAGGAAAGCGAACAATTAATTTTTGCTCCGAGCGGGATCGAACCCGTAGTTGTGACGTGGAAAGCGAGCATGCTAACCAACGAGCCACCGAGGGCTTAAATATTCTTTCTCGAATTCGCTAGTTATCCTAAAAGTATGTTTCTATAATTTATTAAATACATTTTGTTTATTGATCGTTACCGTTTGTTAAATACTATTTATTTTCATTTTCTTTCATTCTGGTTTGTTCTTTTGTGTGATCGCAGTCCTGTCTCCCCGTTAAGGATGGCATGATCAACGTGCATCTGGTGCCACACACTCACGATGACGTTGGCTGGCTGAAGACTGTCGACCAATATTTCTTCGGTAGTGAGTATGATACGGACATTGTAAACAGTGGCGCGACTACCATTTGGATAAGTAAAGCTTGCACTAACATTCATTGTGTGAATAATCGCTACGCTGCACGAAACAAAGAAAATTGCAATGTAATTAATAAAACAATAGCGATTAATTGATGTAATTAATGCTATGTGCTTTTAACCTAATATATGCAACAATAATACTTGCATTTGTATGTGCTTGCTACGCATGCCATATTTTTTACAGATCTGTAGGTAATTGTCTTAACTTTTCTAACTAACTTTGTTGTTTAGGGAGGATTTTTGTAAGCTTGTTCTCTCCCCCAAACAACAGACATGGTAAATATATTTTGTTGGATAAATTGTTCTAAGATGGTTAGTTCGCCACTGTCTGAAGAGTTCGTATGCAAAATCATTATACCATTTTGTGTAGTTCTTTTAGAAACGAAACCAAGTATTATGTTCCATAATAGTGGATTACAATAATTTGGAGTTCAGTGATTATCATAACGGCTGTCATATACTTTAAATAAATTACAATTTCTTTAAACTACATTGCGTTTTTTGGGAGCGTTTCATTTGTCCTATATTATTGATGCTTCTTTTTTGGGGGGAAGGTAAAATATTCTTAAATTGAAGTTTGATGATTACTATGTTTCAAAGACGTGTTTCTTTATTCTTTCTAAAACCTGCTCGTACTTTAATGATGATATTTATTCTTTTTTATGTTTAATGTGTAAATTTAAGACCAAAGAAATTTGTTTAGAAAACATATTCAGCCATGAGGACTTTTTTGTTTATTGTGTTCATCAGCTATGCCTGATAAATCTGATAGACATCTGGTCAGTCAGATGGATTTTAGGCTAATGAAATAAATATTGCCTGGAGGTTAATTTAGTATTACCTCATGTTCTTATTTAAATTTAAAAAATACTTCAATACTTCAAAATACACAGGGAGTCATTACACTGCTGACAATGCGTTCGCATTGCAGAAGCCAAACACTGAGACTTGTTCGCATAGCAGATGATTTATTCTCCTACTACGTCTCTAATGTTAATCGAATAGACTTTCACTCATTTTGCAAGTTCAACTTTAAATGTATCTAGTCTCTAATCCACCCTTATCCAAAAGCGAAACAGACCGCATACTGACTTGACCACCACGTACACTGCAGACTATTTCTACTTGCCAACGGGATGTCCAGATGCAGGTAGGGGGCTAGTAGGGCAATTTGCTCCAGGCACCGACTTAATTGGCGTCACATTTTTTTTCCATTTAAAACATGTAAAACGTGTATTTACTCCCGATTCAAATTGACCGCTATAATTAATTTCTGTTGCTTGGCGAAATTAATTATCTTTATATACGGAGGGCCACCACTCCCACTACAACTACTCCCACTACTACCACTACAACTAACACTCCCACTACTACCACTACAACTAACACTCCCACTACTACCACTACAACTAACACTCCCACTACTAACACTACAACTAACACTCCCACTACTACCACCACCACCACCACCATTACCACCACCTCCACTCCCATTACTCCGAATCTACTATGAAATTACTAGGAAGGGTATGTAGACAGAAACCTGTAAATATGACCTTTCAATGATTATCTCTTCCTTCATTCTTTTAAACGTAAGTCCAGCCAAGACTTGCGAAGTTCAATGTAAATGTTAGTTTATTTTAAATTCGTGTTAAATATCAATTAATATTAATGTAAATTCTGTAAATATGTTTTTAGATCACGCAATTTTCATATGTAAATCCTGTTATTGTTAATATTGGATGAATCCTTAAAACATTTCCATTACAACTGCATTTAATGGGAAGGGAAATCTTTTCGCATGATTAACGTAAGCTCAATTGAAAACCTTTTTCAGATCCAGGCACATAAAATGAAAAGCAGTATCTTAGAATTGAGGTGCATACTACACCTTAAAATGAACCTTGTCATCATTAATTCCTATTTTAACACATACATCAGCTCATCATTTGATAAAACCATTCAAGATTAATGCACCTTGAAACGCAACAGAGCTGCACAACAGAAGATGTATTTGGCATCGTCGAGTGTGCTTGATACTTCTCTGCCTCTTTTAATATTACTTTACTGTGTTCTCTTATAATTAAAACTCACCGCTTTCGCTGGATCCACTGTAGACCACAAAACTTAACTAATTGCATGTCTATTTTGTCTGGCAGTATGCTTTTTTCTACTAATACCTGTAAATAGAAAGTGGGTGCAAGTGTGTCATAAATATAACGTAGAATGTTTCCTTTACTTCCGTTTTTTATAGGCCAGAACAATATTCAGAAAGCTGGAGTTCAATACATCTTGGATACGGTTGTGGAGGAGCTTCAACATGATCCAAAGAAACGGTAAGTGAAATATGATAGATCGAACAAAATGAAGAAACAAACGCAGGAAGTAAAATAAAGAGATTAAATTCTACCCTTTAATATCAAATGACGTCCCAGTTAGAACTTTAGGTTCAAAGTATCCGTTAACCAGCTATGATGATATTTCTGCTCTAAGAATTATGTGAGCAAGATAAATTGAACAAAATGTTTCATTGCACCATGTTAAAACGATGAATTGCTAATTCCCAATTCCGTAAGTACTCAAAACGTTATAGTTAGAAAAAAACGAATTAAATGGAGACTATTATTATTATTATTATTATTATTATTATTATTATTATTATTTTACTGGAGATGCTTTTGATGCTTAGCTAACATTTGCAACAGCCTCTTCTGTTTCCTATTATAGCTCTTGACCTCTCAACTTTGGTGGCTGACACAGTAATTAGATAACAGGAAGATCAATACCCGACGCGCTCGCTCGAAATAAAGATGATGAGTCAAAATTGTATTTCCATGGAATTTTCATTATATTATCGGATGCGTTTAGAAATTCGTTTTTACATCATGGGGCGTATTACCTGTAGAGGAGAGAAAATGACCCATGCTATTGTTCTTAAACATTTATACGGATGGAGAAGTTCTAGAATATTCTGCTAGACATCGTAGAAATATTAAATTGCCGAGGAAAAAATAAAGGGATGCTAATAAAAATGAAAAACGCCTCGATTGTTATATTCGTGAATGTCCTTAATATTCGTAAATGTACCTTTCATTACTGCGTTTTGTAAAGCATTTTTAAATTTATAATTCTCTATTTTTGTTAGTTTTTAACCGCAGAATGAAATCTATGATGAAATCTAACTAGGAATCATTAGAAAAATGCACATAATTAAACTAATACATTGCAGAATTTTTTAATATTACTTAATTTTTAACGGTAATATATTTTCCAGACCGATCAGGATTACAGCAGAAGGAGAACCACGTTTAACGATCTGTCAATGAATAATATTAATACGTGTCAAAGTTCGTCTTCAAAACTCTGAAGTATTATACTGTTAAATGTCATAAATTTTTTTTTTTTTTAAATATTAATATTGTGTATTTCATTACCATGAAGTACTTTTTCAAATTATTAAAAGAAATGCCTTAAATTAAAATTTACGAAATTATAAGTGTATATGTTCTAGAAATGTTTCAGGCACATTTCGCACCGAAACCTGCAGTTAACTAGCTTACTATTTGGGACGCTTCTAGATGTGACATCTGGACAAGCTAAGCATGAAGGCCGACACAAAAGTTCTGCGTTACCTTTCAGCGGTAGTTGTTAGTGAAATTGTAATTAATGACTGAAATGACGTATGGCATCAGGCGTTGGCATTTTAGTTTTTCAGAAATTCAGTACTTAGATTTCACAATAATTTTACTTATGAGAAAACGCCCGTCGCATTGGCACTTTTACGTTGAGACTTGGCAGATTCGTTGCGTCGGACACTTTTGCTCAGTAATCATGAAACGATCACCTCAGATAGTGCACATTATAGCGTCTCTGTATTCTTCATTGCTGTTTGAATTTTTCTTGTCATCAATATTTAGAAAATGTCACACGTATTACTTTCACGGGAATTGTGTGAATTGTGGAACGGAAATGTTTCTCTACCACCGCAGATTCTAGCACTCTGCTGACGCCCTTTGAAAGTAGCACTCTGCTGACGCCCTTTGGTCAGTAGAATTTGCTGTCGCCATTGCTTTGTTGACATATTGCCTTCTATAGCATAATACTTGCTGACTGGACAAATGTGAACCATCGTTGACTGTCGAAAGAATTAGTGCAAAATAACATTTTCGTATTGTGGTATTACTTTTTTATTTAAGATTAATAACCGATATCAACATACATTGTTATAACTTATATTAATAATGGCGTTTTAGTCCATTATTATTAATATTAAATCGTGTAAAACTTTGTAAAGAATCATTGTAAAATGTAGTACCTGAGGTGCATTCTTTTACATTATATGACTGGGAATAAAATTAACAATTTAGACTATTGTGCAACATTATAACTGTATTTCGGTCGAAATAAAATCACTATTTTAATTTCGTCTTCAAAATATACGAGACTAGTTTTAGATTTTCATATGATACAAAATTTGTGAATCAAAGAGAAATCAAAACCTCTTTGAAAGGTTATTTTGTTCCCTTTTAAAAATTGATTGTAACTATCCATTCATTTTTCTTCTTTTGCATTGAAGCAGTTTACAATGATACGTACCCATCCATCTTCCTGTATCCAAAGTTACTTATTAACTTCTAGTATGTACATCTTTCATCAATTTATAATTCATTCTTATTGCAAAGAATATGCCTTAACTCTATACCTTATACTTCTCCCCCGTCCTATTCTGCCAACTTCATTTCTTCATATACCTCAAAGCGCCATCTTGATTATACATAGAATCCAAGTAGGCTACTTCTTTAATGATTTTTCTCTTCCTTTCTTTTAAAACATTTGTCCTTCATTATCTTTTCTATCTTCTCCATATTACTTTGTCTGTAGTCCAAACATGAATTCCAAATTATTCCTAAAGAATGGAAGGTTTTGCTTATTGAAATATATGTGGTTTTCTCATGTACGCTCTCTTATTGATTGTATACGTCTTGGAATCAGTTTTATTAGATTTACAAATCTCTGATGAGTAGATCTACTTTGCTACACTGATAAATAGTTCACCATCTGCGGAGAATTAATTTTGAATACAAGGTCTAGGATTAATTAATCATCCTAAGCCTCTGTGTCACGGGGAAAGCAAAATGGTCGACAGGTGCGTGCGACTTACAGATTACGAATCATAAGCAAAACAGTTTCTCGTTCCATCTTTTCCAACATCAGAAGAATCAATTTTAAAATAGAACAGTCGGCTTTACTATTTGAGCGCTGCGATTGGCGAATTCCGTGCAAATATGTACGACGTTCTTCACTTCCAGCCGCAGCCAGGGACATGGCATGACATTAATTTTCTTGTATTAAACACAAAGGTTATAAAATAACATTTAAAAAATTAACCTTGTACTAAGTTAACATTGTCCTATCAAATTTCCGAACAACTTCTTTCCACTTGAACGTCCGTTGTGGGGTCTTCGCAGGTTCATCTACGTGGAGACGGCTTTCTTTTGGAAATGGTGGAATCGCCAGGACGACTCCCACCGTCACCAAGTGCGAAAGCTGGTGCAACAGGGCCGCCTGGAGTTCATCGGCGGCGGATGGAGTATGAACGACGAGGCCGTCACCCACTACCAGTCCACCATCGACCAGATGACCTGGGGCCTGCGGTGAGTGGCGCCCATGTAGCCTTGCCAGCTTGCGTCGTTTATGCGTGTCGAACCCCTATTTCTTGTTTTATTGCAGATGGGTGGGAACAGCTTGCATTGATTTTGTGTTTGTCCCGTTTCTGTATCATGCAAGAAGACCTGAAAAAAATATCGTATTCTGATCGAGTGATTTTTTTTTTTGTTTCATCAGGTGTAGGTTTGGGTTTTTCTTTGGGAAAAGAAAATTTTCTTATTTATTTTTAATGCTTTTTTCCCTTTTGTAACTCCTCCTTATTATGTGACTGCTACCTGCCATGATAAGGCTAGAAATATATCATAATGCTCGTGGTGAATAATGTTTGAGATATAAACGGCTCGAAAGCGAAGATGCGTTTCATAGTTCCTCTAGGAAAAACGCTGAGACCCAGCAATTACACTTACATAAAAAATAAACATGCAATATATTAATACAATTGTATTCATCCAAATCATTAGTTGGTCATCCAAATGCTATTTTGTAATCAACATGGTATCGCTATGAAGAAGAAATATCCTAATATCAAAAGTTTGAATGGCTTCCACGAAATTAGTGAAAAACAAAGTAGCTGTGGGAACGTTTGTTTAATTTTTGATTTTCACAAATTAAATTGCAAAAATGTAGGGTTTCACAAAGAAAACTGAAAAAAATGAAAAAGCAAAATTAGGCTTGATGTTTTCTTTCTATGTTCTCATAACCGGATAACATTTTCTTTTTATTTACTTCCTGTTACTTCCGGGCATTTTCAAAATTTTCTTAAATCTTCTTGGCTGCAAATGTTTTCTTTAAATTTCTTGTAAGAATGGAGTAAAATATTCTTATCATGGGCCTTAAAAAAACTCTCTCTGGTAAAATATTCTTATCTTATTATAGGTCCGATTTTCACGGTTAACTCGAATTTTTCGAAAATTTCAAAAGTTTGCATTTTTTCGGTGTCTTTCTACAATTACAAAATTGAAGCTAATTAAAAAAAAATTGTTCATAATTAGTTCTTTCGTTGATCATGATTTTGTTCTTTCGTTAAGATGTCGTTTTCGAGCAATATTTTCAATTTTCAAAAGTTACAAAATAAAATATTCTTAAAAACGGCTTCAATTTTTTCTCTATACTTTTGGTAGGGAGAATACTAAATGCACTGTGTACGATGACATAAACGCCATATTGCTCTATGTTTTTGTTTTTTCAAAAATTACAAAAATTTTGTTTACTCTCATTGTCTCTAACTTTGTTAATTTACCTTAGCTGGAATTTGTTTAATTCATGTATTTAAGAGTACATGTGCTTTAAATAATGTCAGGTGAAGTTTCTCTAAAACTCAACAGTTATCTAAAATGGAGCTCAAAATTTCGCATTTTGAGAAACACTCAAACGCCATTTATGCCAAAAATGGCTTCAATTTTTTTTCCAAATGTTCCAAAGAATAGTGCTAATTGCACTGTTTAAGATGACAGAATTAATTTTTCTGTATTCTTTGTTATTTTTCCCAAAATTACACAAATGTAATTTTTTCAAATATCCCTCACGCTTTTAATAGGCACATATCTAGCGATTTGTAATCACTATTGCATTTGTGCCTGGAAGTGCTTGAAATTAATTCATATGAAGTTTTTCGAAAACTCTTGTTTTCTGCGAAAAGAGGTTCAAATATCGCATTCACAGTAACGATTAAACACCATTTTCTTAAAAACGGCTCGAAATTTTTCAAAGAATATTGCCATTTAGGTCGAGGTTTTACTCTTCTTAAATATTCTTAAAATACTATTTCCGTTCTACAATTAGGAAACTGAAAAATTAGGAAAATTTCAAAGTATGCACTTTCGGCGGCAGCTGGCAAGATTATGTGGGAAGTCCGAATAGCTAGCCGAGACCAAAGGAAACAGAAAACTAACACGTGAAAGTCTGTGCAATTCTGTAGCACCACTAGTTCAATGTATTAATAGCATTACAGAATAGTTTTCGATTATTAGAATAAAAATAGTATAGGTACAGGAGTATCAGAAATAACCTGTACTGCGTTTGATTTTTTTTGTTTTTGTTTTTTATGAAAATTCAAAATTTCCAAAATGGAATTTTTAGAACCTATAAAAATCTGAGAACGTTGACGAAAAAATCTCATTTCAAACTTTAAGTTAAAAATCGTAGTCGAAATTCTTACGATTCTTGTGCTTGATTACATCAAAAGTCTTTCTTTCTGTTGGTCATTGCCTCTCTCGCTGAAAACTTCAATGTTCTCGGAGCCCTTTAATTCACGCTTCTGATCGCAAACTTCCCTTCCCGTGCCATCTCATGTGGGCGATTGGTTATTGTTTCAGGCGCCTCAACGACACCTTCGGCAAATGCGGGCGGCCGCGCGTGGGCTGGCAGATCGACCCCTTCGGCCACTCGCGGGAGATGGCATCCATCTTTGCTCAGATGGGCTACGACGGGCTGTTCTTCGGACGCCTCGACTATCAGGACAAGATGAACCGCCTGTCCTCCAAGACGGCAGAGATGGTGTGGCAGGCTAGCGACAACCTGGGTACGCACCTTTCCGTGCCTAGTCATGTACTCGGGAATAATAACAAACTTAAATTTTGAAAAACGTAAAACGGACTACGAAATAAAACTACAGGAGCCCAACATCATGTACTTTCTCATATTATTTCTAACGGCTACGAAGTATAATATTGCAATAAGAATCCTAGAAGTTTTCAATTAAACATACATTTAAAAAAATTAAATTCATTTTTAATTTTTTTGGTCTAAAAATGGTTTAGTGACGCATAAAATATTGATTAACAATTGTTTTAAAGATACAAATATATTTTATGCCTTTTTCGAATGTTTTATGTATTTTTTGTGGCGCGAGTCCCCCCTCTCCCCACGGCTATGGGCTCCTAAGCAATAGCTTATTTTGCCTGTAAGTAAATCTAGCCACGATACATCACAATTCTTTTTCTCTTTACAGTCTTTAACAATGGAAATATTAAAATGTAAGGTAGCATGGGGTTACATTGTCTGGATGAAACTTTGACACAACTTCAAAAAATGTAAATAACACTGGGCATACTGCAATTTTTTTTGCTGACTGTGTTCCTTCAGTTATCTTCTTTACTCAGAAACATCACATACAACCCTTGTTTGGTTTTAGTTATACATGTGATGTAAAAATTATACATATATTATAATACCTTCAGACTTTATATTATTAAATATTTACAGTAATGCTGTAAATAATCTTATCAGAATGCATTGCATTCTCCACAACAAATTTTGGCATTATCAAAACTTTACTAAGATATGTGTTTTACAGAAATAAGGTAATAAATGTTAGTTATAACTAATAAACATGAATGTTTTCGAGTTCATCTGAATATTTCAAATATTGATTACAGGAAAAGATGCAGAACTATTTACTCATGCCTTATATAATCACTATAGCCCTCCACCTGGTTTCTGTTTTGATGTTCTGTGTGATGATGAGCCCATCATTGATGACAAGCACAGTCCAGACTACAATGTAGATAAGAGGGTATGTAACCAACTTCATGCCTACTAACTCACATTACCAAATATACAAAACTTAAAAACCATACCAAATTGTGTTTATGTAGTAATGTTTGCTGTTGTAAGTGATGTTTAATAATATATTAAATTTTTGATTGTACCCATCTCAATAAGGTTTTTGTCCTGTTTCCCTGATATATTGAGAAATGCTGAAATGTCTCCTTGTTTTGCTTCTGGACTTAAATGTAGCTTCGCTAAGCTCAGGTTTTGTTGAACTCACCTTTTGCTTGAAGTGGTGAGAGTAGTGTTAAAAGCAAGTTACTATTTTGTTAGCAATGCAAAAAAATCAAATCTGTAGTTCATTTACCAGAGAAAATAAGTTTTCTATAACTCAAGAACGAAAATGTCTAGTTTTTTAAATGTTGCTAATCTCGTCCTTTTTTAATTTTTATTTTTTCTTCATTTTTTATTTTTATCTTTTACTCATCTTTCAACTATTTATAGTTAAAATGATTTGGAAGAGATGCTGGAACTCAAGAAAACATGCACAGATGATCTTCTCTCCCATGTCACGCACAGTTTTTACTGTTTTTGAATAAATAAATAAATCTAAAGTAAATATCTAAAGTAAATGTAATTAGATATAATGCTTATTGCTTTTCATCAAAGAAACGAACAATGAAAATATTATTAGTTACTATGTTGAGTTTAATGTGGTGACAGGTGGAGCGTTTCTTGGCGTTTGTTCAGAATCAAACAAAACGCTATGTCACCAAGAATATTATCCTCACAATGGGGGGTGATTTCACCTATCAGGATGCCAAAATGTGGTACTCCAATCTGGATAAAATGATCAGGTAAAGCAATTTTTTAACTATGATTCTCAGCATATATCTTGCTGCTCACAGGTCACCCAGTTTATTCAGTTTGCTAAGCTTCAAGCCTCCTCCTATAACTCCAAACACATCATTATGACCATGGGTGAAGACTTCCATTATCAGGAAGCACACATGTGGTTCAAAAATTTGGATAAACTTATTCGGTAAGAAGCATCTAAAACAAAATATATCTGCTCTTCACATCTCATGCTTGCTGATGCATTCCAATTGGACTATGAGGTGTTTGGAGATATCTCTTGTCTTCTCTGAAATTTTAACCTAGATAATTATTTCTTGACATCTCATTTTTGCTGTAGTTTGCATGTTTTGGGTATATTATTCTGTCAGAAACTTCACAGATATTTATGATATAACTTTCTTTTCGTGAATTATAATGAATCTGTTTGGCTCACAACAGCCATGAGTTTTTCTTTGTCATTATGTATTCTTGTTATGTTTTTATAATTATGAGTATCAAAACTTATTGTTTTGAAACAAAAAAAATAAATTCTATCACTGAAACAGTAATTTTTCAACAGATGAATTCTGTAACAATATTTTCAAATACTTATTCTTTATAAGTGATTCCTGCAGCTTTCACTTTTCAGTTCCTTCGTTACAATGCTAAAAAAACTTGCATGGTTTTTATTAAGTAGTATTTTTAACTCTTGTAATTAGTGAATGACTACTATTTATTATTTTTGCAGATATGTAAATCTTCGCCAAGCAAATGGCAGCAATATAAATCTTCTGTACTCCACTCCTAGCTGCTACTTGAAGGCAGTCAATGATGCAAAACTTTCTTGGACAACAAAACAGGACGACTTCTTCCCATATGCGAGTGATTCTCATGCTTACTGGACTGGGTACTACACGTCTCGCCCCACAATCAAGTACTTTGAACGTCTAGGAAATAATTACTTGCAGGTAAATATTATTTGTATCAACTTAACAAAAACTAATATTATCTTAAAATATGTTGCCGATGTAGAGCACCGCAAGGTACAGCAACTTAATCAGGATTGCTATTTTTGTACCCTTCCAGAAATAGATAGATGAGGGGTCCAAAATTGCAAAAAATTGGGAGTCATAATTTTTTGTAGACTCTGTGCGGCCTAGTAAATGGTGTTGTTGTTCATGATGATGATGTTGATTTCATTGGTGGTTCATACATATTTGTTTAATTTCTTTTGGTGTACAGTACATTTGAATACGTAGCTTTCTTCAAATTAAAATGACACCTGAAACTTGTGTACCATTATCAAGAAATGATTCACTCTAATATTAATACTGTAACATTTCTTGGTGGTGAATTAAAACATGCTCGTAATATTTTAACAAAGACGTTTATTTGTAAACAATGATACACCAAAATAATTGATTTATTTACACAGTCCTTGAGTTCTTCACTTGATTATTTTCCTTACACACACCTTCGTTCTCTTAATTATTTATTTACACAGTTCACTTCTTCTGATTATTTATTTACACTGTTCACTTCTTCTACACTATCGTATTTATTACTCACATCCATCTTCCTGTATCCAAGTTACTTATTAACTTTAGTATGTACATCTTTCATAATTTATAATTCATTCTTATTGCAAATAATATGCCTTAACTCTATACTTGATATCTCTCTCCCCGTCTATATTCTGCAACTTCATTTCTTCATATACTCAAAGCGCATCTTGATTATACATTAGAATCGCATTTAGTAGGCTACTTCTTTAATGATTTATTTTTCTTTCCTTTCTTTTAAAAATTTGTCATTCATTATCTTTCTATCTCTCCATACTTCTATTGTCTGTAGTCCAAACATGTTTCCAAATTATTCTAAAGATGGAAGGTTTTGCTTATTGAAAATAAATGTGGTTTTCTCATGTAGTCGTCTCTTATTGATTTGATACTAAGTGCTTGGAATCAGTTTTTAATTAGATTTACAAATCTCTGATGAGTAGATCTACTTTGCTACACTGATAATTAGTTCACCTCTCTGCGAGAATTAATTTTGAATACAAGGTCTAGGATTAATTATATCCTAAGCCTATTGTGTCACGGGTGAAAGAAAATGGTCGACCGGTGCGTGCGACTTACAGATTACGAATCATAAGCAAAACAGTTTTTCGTTCCATCTTTTACAACATAGAAGAATCAATCTTAAAATAGAACAGTCGGCTTTACTATTTGAGCGCTGCGATTGGCGAATTCCGTGCAAATATGTACGACGTTTTCATTCCGGCCGCAGCCAGGGACATGGATGACACTAATTTTTCTTGTATTAAGCACAAAGGATTATAAATAAATTTAAAAAATAACCTTGTACTAAGTAACATTGTCCTATCAAATTTCCGAACAACTTCTTTCCACGTTGAACGTCCGTTGTGGGGTCTTCGCAGGTTCATCTACGTGGAGACGGCTTTTTTTGGAAATGGTGGAATCGCAGGAGACTCCCAGTCACCAAGTGCGAAAGCTGTGCAACAGGGCCGCCTGGAGTTCATCGGCGGGGATGGAGTATGAACGACGAGGCCGTCACCCACTACCAGTCCACCATCGACCGTGACCTGGGGCTGCGGTGAGTGGCGCCCATGTAGCCTTGCAGCTTGCGTCGTTTATGTGTCGAACCCCTATTTCTTGTTTTATTGGCAGATGGGTGGGAACAGCTTGCATTGATTTGTGTTTTGTCCGTTTCTGTATCATGCAAGAAGACCTGAAAAAATATCGTATTCTGATCGAGTGATTTTTTTTTGTTTTATCAGGTGTAGTTTGGGTTTTTCTTTGGGAAAAGAAAATTTTCTATTTATTTTTAATGTTTTTTCCCTTTGTACTCCTCTTATTATGTGACTGCTACCTGCCATGAATAAGGCTAGAAATATATCATAATGCTCGTGGTAAATAATGTTTGAGATATAAAACGGCTCGAAAGCGAAGATACGTTTCATAGTTCCTCTAGGAAAACCGCTGAGACCCCGCAATTACACTTACATAAAAAATAAACATGCAAATATAATACAATTGTATTCATACCAAAATCATTAGTTGGTCATCCAAATGCTATTTTGTAATCAACATGGTATCGTATGAAGAAGAAATATCCTAATATCAAAGTTTTGAATGGCTTGGCCACGAAATTAGTAAAAACAAAGTAGCTGTGGGAACGTTTGTTTAATTTTTCATTTTTCACAAATTAAATTACAAAAATGTAGGGTTTCAAAAAAGAAAACTGAAAAATGAAAGCAAAAATTAGGCTTGAAGTTTTCTTTTATTTTTCATAACCGATAACATTTTTTTTTTCTTTACTTCCTGTTACTTCCGGGCATTTTTCAAAATTTTCTTAATTCTTCTTGCTGCAAATGTTTCTTTAAATTTCTTGTAAGAATGGAGAAATATTTTTATCATGGGCTAAAAAACTCCCTCTTGGTAAAATATATTTTATCTTATTAAGGTCCGATTTTACGGTTAACTCGAATTTTCGAAAAATTTCAAAGTTTGCATTTTTTCGGCGTCTTTCTACATATTACAATTTGAAGCTAATTTTAAAAAAAAATTGTTCATAATTAGTTCTTTCGTTGATCATGATTTTGTTTTTTCGTTAAGATGTCGTTTCGAGCATATTTTCAATTTTCAAAAGTTACAAAATAAAATATTCTTAAAAACGGTTCAATTTTTTTCTCTATACTTTTGGTAGGGAGAATACTAAATGCACTGTGTAAGATGACATAAACGCCATATTGCTCATTGTTTTTTTGTTTTTGCAAAAATTACAAAATTTTGTTTACTCTCATTGTCTCTAACTTTTAATTTACCTTAGCTGGAATTTGTTTATTCATTGTATTAATAGAGTAATGTGCTTTAAATAATGTCAGGTGAAGTTTCTCTAAAACTCACAGTTATCTAAAATGGAGCTCAAAATTCCGCATTTTGAGAAACACTTAAACGCCATTTATGCAAAAATGGCTTCAATTTCTTTTTCAAATGTTCCAAAGAATAGTGACTTTGCACTGGTTAGATGACCGAATTAATTTTGCTGTATCTTTGTTATTTTTCAAAATTACACAAATGTATTTTTTAAATATCCCTCACCTTTTATAGGCACATATCAGCGATTTGTAATCACTATTGCACTTTGGGCCTGTAAGGCTTGAAATTAATTCATATGAAGTTTTTTCGAAAACTCTGTTTTCTGCGAAAGAGGTTCAAATCGCATTCACAGTAACGCTTAAACACCATTTTCTTAAAAACGGCTCGAAATTTTTCAAAAGATATATGCCATTTAGGTCGGAGTTTTACTCTTTTAAATTTTTAAAATACTATTTCCGTTCCTACAATTAGGAAACTGTAAAATTAGGAAATTTCAAAATATGCATTTCGGCGGCAAGCTGGCAAGATTATGTAGGAAGTCCGAATAGCTAGCGAGACCAAGGAAACAGAAAACTAACACGTGAAAGTCCTGTGCAATTCTGTAGCAGCACTAGTTCAATGTATTAATAGCATTACAGAATAGTTTTCGATTATTAGAATAAAAATAGTTATATTACAGGAGTAATCAGAAATAACCTGTTCTGCGTTTGATTTTTTTTTTGTTTTTGTTTTTATGAAAATTCAAAATTTCCAAAATGTAATTTTTAAGACCTATAAAATCTGAGAACGTTGACGAAAAAATCTCATTTTCAAACTTTAAGTTAAAAATCGTAGTCGAAATTCTTACGATTCTGTGCTTGATTACATCAAAAGTCTTTCTTTCTCTGTGGTCATTGCCTCTCTCGCTGAGAAACTTCAATGTTCTCGGAGCCTTTTAATTCACGCTTCTGATCGCAACTTCCCTTCCCCGTGCATCTATGTGGGCGATTGGTATTGTTTCAGGCGCCTCAACGACACCTTCGCAAGTGCGGGGCGCGCGCGTGGGCTGGCAGATCGACCCTTGGCACTCGGGGAGATGGATCCATCTTTTGCTCAGATGGGCTACGACGGGCTGTTCTTCGGACGCCTCGACTATCAGGACAAGATGAACCGCTGTCCTCCAAGACGGCAGAGATGGTGTGGGCAGGCTAGCGCGACAACCTGGGTACCGCACCTTTCGTGCCTAGTATGTACTCGGGAATAATCAAAACTTAAATTTTGAAAACGTAAAACGGCCTACGAAATAAAACTACAGGAGCCAACATCATGTACTTTCTCATATTATTTTCTAACGCCTACGAAGTATAATATTGCAATAAGAATCCTAGAAGTTTTCAATTAAACATACATTTAAAAAATTAAATTCATTTTTAATTTTTTGGATCTAAAAATAGTTTTAGTGACGATAAAATATTGATTAAACATTGTTTTAAAAAGAAAATATATTTTATGCCTTTTTCGAATGTTTTATGTATTTTTGTGGCGTGATGTCCCCTCTCCCACGGTATGGGCTCCTAAGCAATAGCTTATTTTGCCTGTAAGTAAATCTTGGCCACAATACATCACAATTCTTTTTCTCTTTACAGTCTTTAACATAGTGAATATTTAAAATGTAAGGTAGCATGGGTAACATTGTCTGATGAAACTTTTGACACCAACTTCAAAAATGTAAATAACACTGGCATACTGCAATTTTTTTGCTGACTGTGTTCCTTCAGTTATCTTCTTTACTCAGAAACATCACATACAACCCTTGTTTGGTTTTGTTATACATGTGATGTAAAATTGTTATACTATATTATTAATCTTCAGACTTTTATATTATTAATTATTTAAAGTAATGCTGTAAATAATCTTATCAGAATTGCATTGCATTCTCCACAACAAAATTTTTGGATTATCAAAACTTTACTAAGATATGTGTTTTACAGGAAATAAGGTAATAACTGTTTAGTTATAACTAATAAACATGAATGTTTTGAGTTCATTGAATATTTCAATATATTGATTACAGGAAAAAGATGCAG